ACGCGAAAAGTTCTTTGTTTGGCCCCTCTCTATAACCGGCCATCCCTTCTGCTCGTTGTGGTCGACCTTCACCTTAAAGAGTGCAAACGAGTGCAACAGTCGAGCTAACAGTGCGGGAGAGAGAGAGGGAGAGACAGCAGAAATACGTTGCGGTTAGACTCAGAGCACTACAGCACACATCCATACCATACCATACATTACATACAGACAGACACAAACTCTCTGACCACTCTTACCATCGGCACTCATTGTCTCACTATTTTTATTATCAAAATTAAGTCATTTTCTAGAACTTAATGGTAAAATATTGCAGCGATTAGTCTAAGCCATAATATAATGAACAAAAAAAGCAAATTCTGTTAACATATTCTATAGATTTATGTATTGAACAAAAATCATATGTTGTTTCTATGGACTCAAAGAATGGCAATTCGTGTTATAACCATAAGGGAAACACTAACCAAAGACTTACTCAACACGTGGCCTAATGTAAGCAAATGTGTTATTAACAAAAACATCATATAAATGCAAATTATGTAAACATTCATATGTTTCACGTGTTTCTTATTTGCTTCAAAATATATTAAAAGCAATCAATTTTTATATTAAACTTTTTTTTTATTATATTTTAAAAACTAAATAATTAGTTAATATATAAAATGCATGAAATCTTTTCAATAAATAATATTTTTTCAATTAAATAAATAATTTGGTGTCAAATATGAAAACAAAATAAAAATTTTTTTTTATTATATTTTAAAAACTAAATAATTAGTTAATATATAAAATGCATGAAATCTTTTCAATAAATAATATTTTTTCAATTAAATAAATAATTTGGTGTCAAATATGAAAACAAAATAAAAATCTCAATAACTTAACAATAATAGCAATATTAATAGTTTGTATGGCTTTTGTTCATCTGATAGGACGAGAGGCACAGACACTGAGAGACTGGTTTTGAGTGAATCTCGGGAACAGTGGTCGACAAAGACAAAGGTTTCCATTGATATTCTTACCACTTTCAGAAGTCTCGTACGCATCGGTTGTTTCAGTAGTCTCTGGTTCAGAGTTGGATGAAATGGACGACATTCCAGAACTGCATTCACTAATACTTCTCCGTTTGTGCATTGAATCCTTGAAATCAATTTCTTGTAACTGATCTAATCGTCTCCGCAGATACTTCTGCTCCCGAAGCAACTGCTCTTTAGTTGTTTGATGTTTGCGATCCTTTTCCTCCAAATTCTACACAATTAGAGATCAAAACAATTACAGTTCATTCATATTATAATTACTGTCATTAAAATCTCACTCGAATGAAGGACTTGGCTTTGGTTAGGAGACCAAGAGTTGTGTGTCGACTCGACTCTGGCCCTAAAGGTACCATTTCCTGTCACATACAGTATTGTGGTTATAGTCAACCATCGCATCACATCATCAAACCATACATACCTTTAGTTTCTCCAAACAATTGCGCAAATGGGCCCGTCTTTACACATAATACCAAACAATGGATTAATATATCAATATATTTGTCATCAAATCTATTGTAAATCTAATTGTTTTTAATCATAACCTAATGCTATATTCATGTGCTGCTAGTGTATTGATTATACCTTGTTGTTAGGCTATTATATGAAACAGAATAGTGTAATGCAATGGAGACAATGCAATGCATGTAAAATTCACTAATGAACCGCTGAAGAAGTTCATTGTAGCCCTAATGCAATCAATCCGCTGAGAGTATAGTTATGATGGAAAAAGAGCTCAAGAGTTATATTGTTGGGAAAGAGTAACACATTTGTTGAGTATAGCGAAGAGGATATCATGAGATACTGTGTTCTGACAACTTTCCACTCGATGGGGGCTGTGGTGGGGAATAGTAGGGGAGGTCAACATACCCTCCATTTAAGTCACACCCACTGAAAGTCAAATTATTTTCTAGTAAATACTGTTCACTGCTTTTTTAGATCGCATTTATCACAAGAAAAACAACATTTTTTGAACTCAAACCCTATGAAAAAGTATGAAAAAACTCTTTGATAGCCAAACAACACACCATTGAATTGGACTCTAAAATCAATTTAGATTAAACTTCTCTCAAATGATTACTAAATTAATCATTCCTTTGACTCTCGAATACATGGCTTCAATATATTGTGTCAAACAATCAATTGAAAGAAAAGTCAATTATTTACGAATTGAAAAACGTTTTTAATTGAGGAAAATTAGAAGTCGTCGATAAGGCTTATGACATGACAGGCATTTCCTTTTGTTTGATGGCAAACATATCCAATAAAATATTATTATCAACTTATCTCAACATTATTTCAACTATAATTCAGGGTATGTTAGGTATGGCCTCGATATTAATGCATGTTTTCCATTCTCTGGTCATTATTTGTGCACAATTTTAACTACTTTTTTGTCTACTATTTGTGCATTTCTTTAGCAACGAATAAAACATTCAAAACTAATCTAATGTATAAATGTTTGCATTAAATATACAGCATTTGTAAACCAAAAACTTTTGGTTCAAATCATTGCAAAAATGGTTGAAAAAGAAAAATGAGTTTTTGTCGAGTAAATAGAGAGCAAACTCTGTATGAATAGGTTGTGCGCGCTTTCACTCAACTCTTCCTTGTTTTTTGGTTAGCCTTTAGTGCCTTTCAATGCATTCAATGTAACATCTCTTTGGATGTCGTGTCACACACTTTCCACTTCAAGACCTCTTCTATGATATGCGACCGAAAACATGTCAATTGGAGATCAAACTTAAGACAACTTTTCAATTATCTTCTAACAAGAGTAGAGAAAACTCTCGCATAAAACTCAATACTTTTATGAATAGATGAATAGAGTATAAAATGAGTTGAAAGCGGATATAAATTAAGTTTATGGCAAAGTATTGGATGCCATTAGTGGCCATCAGATGAGTTACACCATCGCCTCAATAGGCATTCAATGTCTGTTTGTTTGCAATGTTAACAGAGAGTGAATTAAGAGGAAATTTTTGAGAAATGATAGAAACTATTCTAACAAACAATCGGCGAATAAAACTGGAATATTGTTAGCCATAGCTATAGTTATATAACGATATGGGGCTGTAATACAGGTATTGGTTGAATAACACAAGTCATAACCTCATCTCCCAAATAGTGAAAGTCTTTCTTTGAAGCGAAATCTTTTCGGAGCCAAACATAAAGACTAAGATATTTATCGTTTGGATTCAAATGTGAGCCACAGATGGCATTCGGCCCAAGATTTCATACACCGAATCACTGCTACAGTACGCTATCAGGTCTTAGTGTTAGCTAACATTGTGTCTAATGTGTGACACGTCTTTACCCAATACTACGAACCACTCATTTTTCATATACATATTATGTATGAAAAATTGTTTTCAACTAAATTTAAAATATTTCAAAAGTATTTTTAAATGTATGTATCAATCATTTGGCTTTTAGTTTAATAAAGAGCATTTAGTGTATCGTAGCGTACATTTACTAATTATTATTTACACATTTAATCACATTTTATTTTAAATGCTCCAAAAAGTTAAATTATAATTTGCTTAATATAACATCTTGAGCATTTAACTAACTTGTCGAATTGAACTCACAGTCATTATATAAATACATTATCGAGATTTCAAAAATATTTTTCTATCACTTGTGAGTTTTATAAGAACTCTGATTTGAAATGCAAGTTATTTAACAATATTTGTAATCATATGAAATCTATGAAAATAATCACTCAAATATCATGAAAGCCATACATAGAGTATAATTATGAAAGCCCTGTACTCTGTGCTGCCCTTATAAAGTGGACCTCAAACAAAAACTTGTCTAAATTCAACGTTACATTATGTACTCCATTATTAATAGTAATATTCTAGAGTTCTGTTATAAAAATAAAACCAATGTAATGGTAGTTCTTCAGTATATATAATGCACAACACATTACTTCTATTGTAACTAAATTGTCAAATAATATCGCAATTAAAACACACATAAATTACAATTGTTTGTGATATTTGTGTACAATTTGGTGGCAATTGGTATATAAATCCAAACAACATTTATCTTATTTAAACCAATAGTCAACTCATGTAAAGAATATAGGAGTGAGAGGATGTAGTGGTCACTCGATTCACACATAGCAACATATAATTGTCTCACTATTCATCACAAGAGGCATACAATTTAAATACTAGGCAATAGTGGTTCGGGCCCTACAAAGGCTTTGGTGTGAAAGGTCTGTGAGTCTCGACTATAATTAGAGTGGTCTGTGGCAAAAGGGCCTCCAATTAAGGCCCATATCATAGTTATGTAAAATTGTTGGACTTATACTTTCATTGAACCAAAAATGACAACGAATTGGGTTTACAAGCATTTCGTAAAATTAGCATAAAATGAGGTAAACGCTGCTTATCTAGAGTACAGTACAGTACATACCATATGTATGAAACTGTGCTCACAATGCAATGTCTTTACGCATGGAATAGTAATTTAGTTTAGAATTGATTTTTGGGTAAATTCTTACATAAGTTGTGACGAAATAATGATAATAACAACAAGTTTTGTGAAATTGGTTTAAAATGGTTTATAATTGAGAATAAGTCGATATATTAATGAATCTTACAGTCCTGTCCTTTAAGTTGGTGTCCTTTGAGTTGGCGCCTATGAAAACACTAATATATTTTTATATTACGGTTAGCCTTACTGAAAATTGCCATAAACGTTTCTGTTGTAGAATTTATGTNATATTTTTATATTACGGTTAGCCTTACTGAAAATTGCCATAAACGTTTCTGTTGTAGAATTTATGTAGAATTTAATGCTGAAAACGAATATGAAGTTTCGAATTTTCTATCTCGAATATCTTTCGAGTTATTCGACTTAAAACCTTTGCTTGAAAAATATTTTATGTTACATTTTACGCTGAAAACGCTACCCAACCTAACCAAACCAAATATAACATAATATAAGTTAAGTTTGTTAAGGCTTATTTAGATAAGGTTAGGTTATAAATTTTTCCGATAAACATTAAAGTCGAATATCTTGAAAGGTATTTGACCAATATAAATTTGGATTTCAAATTCGCGTTCAGCGTTGAATTCTGTATTGAACCCATATAAGATATTAATATATTTCGTTTAAAAATATTTTTCGAACAAAAGTTTTAAGTCGAATAACTCGAAAGATATTCGAGATAGAAAATTCTAAACTTCATATTTGTTTTCAGCGTTAAATTCTACATAAGAAACGTTTATGGCAATTTTCAGTAAGGCTAACCGTAATATAAAAATATATTAGTGTTTTCATAGGCGCCAACTCAAAGGACACCAACTTAAAGGACAGGACTGTTAAGACTTATGGCATATATATTGTAAAATAATGGGCCAAACGAATGGATACGTCTATTAACGCCACTTAATTGCCAGGTGTGTAATGATTACCACTATCTCTATGTCTCGACATTACTTTCATATAAGTTATTGTTTTTGTTGGAGAGGCAGAGGCAGGAGAGCCCAAGTAAGGCAATGCTATACATCTACATAACCATTGGATGCCTCGACAGCTCTGCACTTGCTTTCAAAACTAGATTTCAATACTGAATACTGATGTTGTGTTGAAGGATATTAAACAGCAAAAAAATCTATGAAGTAATCAATGGGTTTGGATGGCGAGTATGTAAAGTAAAACCAATAACTAAAGCACATGAATATGAAATAAACTGTAAATGCAGTCACTGTGTGTATAATTGCCTTGAGTTTAGTTCAGTTATAATTATAATTATATGCACTAAACATACAGTATATAAGTGTTAAGGTCTTACCTATTCTTTTCCAATTCATTGTGTGTTGTTCTGCAAAATAATAATCAAAATACTAATTAATACAAAATCAGTTAACACTTATCGATATAACAGATTCGAGAGAGAGAGAGAGAGAGAGAGNTCTAGTTTTGAAAGCAAGTGCAGAGCTGTCGAGGCATCCAATGGTTATGTAGATGTATAGCATTGCCTTACTTGGGCTCTCCTGCCTCTGCCTCTCCAACAAAAACAATAACTTATATGAAAGTAATGTCGAGACAGAGAGAGAGAGAGAATGGGATGGTTGGGGTGACCGATAGGGGTTTTGGTGAATATGAGAGGGCAATGGTTTGAGTGAGCAGTAGTGAGCAGTGGTGTTGGTGTGGAATATTGCATGGAATTGTGTGTGAGATCACAATTATAATGCAATTGTTAGATAGAAAGCTAGCGTGACCACCTCTAGGTTTGAAAATAGCGAACATTTGACCAAATTTTCTTTAAAATAGAGAACAAATAGAAAACACATATTTTACGTTTATTTTTTTCTAAATTTAAAAATCAAGATTATTTAATACCAATGTTGAAGTAACATTTATTGTGTTAGTTGCATTAAAAAATGGCAATTATTAATCAAGAAAGTGTCAACTCATTTCAAAAGTTTATTATTGCATAGATAAATAAATATTTAATAAATTTAGTAACATTTCTATCATTTATTTAAAATTTAAAATAGAGAACAGTTCTCTATTTTGTCCAAATACAGGTCCAAATAGAGAATTGTTCTCTGAAATAGAGCACAGGTGGTCACGCTATAGAAAGCATGTGTGCATAGAGTGTGCAAAGTTATGCATAAGTAATATATGAGTTTCTATACGCATATAAACAAAACATAATTTTAAGACTAATGATTGGTTTGAGTTTTTTGTGTTCAAATTCCAGATAAAAAGTCTACGAATTTCAGTGTAAATGAAAATTATGAAAACAATTAGCAAAACAGGTGTACTTTTGTTTGATTTATACACTGTTAGACTGTTTGGGATATTTGTGCGAACACTCATGGCGTCGGGAGTTGTGGTGTTTATCAGTGAATACAAGTAGTATTACATACGGAGAGGGAGGGAGGGGGAGAAGGAGGGAGGGAGAGGGGCAGCAACAGTGATGTATGCAATGCGAGTGTGTGTGCGGTTGGAACGGCATTAATGGTAATACAAATACATAGTGTTTGACACCATTCCAGATGAGACCTAAACTACAGAACCTTCAGAACCCACACAACACTCCTGTGAAGCAGATTTAGAAAGTGTTTGGTTTGGACTCAAAGCAATTGAATGGCAGAATAACGGGTGTTATTAGTGCTTATCATGTGGTCATTGGGAAGCAGTGATAGCAGTGGTGAAGATGTGAAGCAATGGATGCAATGAATACCTGTTTCCCTGAGATTTCTTGGATTTAGTCCGACGACGACTCAGACTGAGATCATGTGGAAGAGGAAGAGTAGACGCATATCCGTGTTCTGCCTCTGAAATCAAAACACGTTAACAATTAATATCTTATTGTTTGCATTGAGTTTTGTCTAATTTCACATCAGATCTATTATTTGGTCAAAAGTTGCCATATATTGAGGCCATAACGAGAAATAATGCATTTGTGCAATGAATACAACATATAATATACAGTCATATAAGTAACATGTAATATGTATTTGCGTTTCCAATCTAACAAATGAGGTTATGTTATGGCATAGAAAGGCAATGCGTTGAATGCATTGTAAGGCACTGTAGTATTGCTATGGCTTGTATGGAGTGGTAGTGGCTGTGGCTATGGCTGTGCGAGTAGTGATGGCTGAGTCGAGTGAGTCTAACGTCAAAATCAGCTGTCGTTCAGTTAAACTCAGTATTTGTTTCATAGGTTTGACATTTGGGTTGTTTTGCAGTGTTTGCAGCCATTCATCCACTCTTTGCCAACACTTACAGTCTTTGCACTCAATTTATTAATACATTTATTAAACATTTTTGCAAATATACTACAAATTGGACTAAAACTAAACCCCATTCACAACAAACTCTATCAAAACTATTTGCAAAACAACACTCAGTTTTCGACAAAAAAACTGCAAATTCAGTCGAAATGAGTGAAAAAATAGTAGGAAATTGTATTTAAAAATCATTTTTCCTAAACTTTAATTGATATTAAAAATGAACACAAATTAACCAAAAAATCAATAGAAATGATGTGTGAAATGGATATAAATGGGTATCAAATGAATAACAAACCTCTTTCTCTGCGATCCAGATATTCTGCTGCCTATAGTTGTGTCCATACAATCAATACATCATTAAATAGTGTCCATAATTCACATCCAAATACAATGCATACCTGAATGAGTGCTGCGATTGACATCATATTTGTAATCAAATCTCAAATCAATTCAAAACCCAAAAATCGGAGACAAAAATATTTGTTCACAAAAAGGAGATCACAATTGAATAACAAAAAAGCGATTGATTTCTCTCTTTAAGCCTTAGATTTATATTAACTATAATTATATTTATATTAAATAAATTTACTTATATTTTACAACTATTTTACAAGAGATCACAAAAGGGTTGCGTTTATAGTAATAGTGTGTCTTTGGATGTGATTATCGATTGAATGGATTCATTGATGAGATTTGGATTCAATGCATACAAACACTCATCAAAGCATTTGGTGGCAGATCTGGTCAGTGGTCGGGCGTTAGCAACACATGTCTGGGATGGCCAGCAGTGGTCGTGTCTGGTCTGGTCTGCTCTGTCTGTGATGTGGTGTACAGTCTAGTGATGAGCAGCGGATCAGAGGATCAGTTGAATCAAAGATGGATCGCAACAACATTCAAGTCACTCATTCACAACACAAACACATAATACGACTGCTGTTGTGCTCAAGCAGTGCATGCCTTCAATGCCTTCACAACACACACTGTTCACAACCGATGGCACGCATGCGCTCCGCACCACAACCAACCAATCCTAGCGCACACTTTCTCCCTATTATTAGCACTTTATTACGTGAGCACTCGTTCACTGCCAACACTGCC